GTCGACTTAACTAACTACTACTTTACTTTACTTACGTACTAATAATAGTTAGTTTTAGTTTTGTTTGTCGTACAACTTAACTTACTAATTATTACTATACGACACACACTCTCTCTCTCTCTCTCTCTCTCCACACAAGACAAAGAAATAATACGTAACGAACGAAACGTAACTCGGTTAGTTACCCCCTCCCCTCCTAACGACAACGAATAGTTGTAAAGAAAATAACTCTCTCTCTCTCTCTCTATCTCTCTCTCTCTCTCTCTCTCTCCACAACAACCCCCACTTTCAGCTCATCTTCTTATCTGAAAGCACACCACAACCACTTTCAGGCAACAGTTCATCTTCTTCTGTCAGGGGATTATTAGACAAGAAATAATGGCACAATCTTTTCCCATCAATTCCCAAGTGCCATACAGATTGCGAAGTGCTCACCCAGAATCATTTCAACCCACCACCATATATCTATCCACCATCCATCCTTTCAATCAGTGGATCGCATGCTATGACTCGAAGGCCATAGCTGTGTTCGAATCCGTTTTTCAGAAACAACCCACAAAAAAGACCTCCCAATAGCTCGAGTGTTGCTCAAATTCCTTGCCCAAAATTCTACTCTCTCCAAAGACTCTGTGTCTCTAGATGGAGAATCCGAAGACTCTTCCATTAAAGCTGATGAAGAAAAACTAAGAGACAACATTGATGCTGTTTATCTTGTTTTGGGTTTTTTGAGAGATCTCTTAGGCTCTCAGACTCATTTCTTACACAAACATGATCAAGATGTAATTGAAGATATCATAAAGATGGATAATCAGCTCCCTCTCGATCTCATCCTCAACATCATTGATCAAATTCCTTCTTCAATTGCTAAATTTCGGGACCTAAAGTTGCAGGGCTCCTCTTTCTTCCAAAAAACAGGGGAGAGCGAGCTTCATCGAGAAATTATAACGGGAGGAAACAAAAGCTTTATACAAATTCCCTCGAATTTCCGACTTGAAATTTCTAGAGAGGGGTTTCACAAGGTCATTCGTGCCTTCTGTCGGCACTACTCCCCTTTCGAAAGTGGGAGAACAAGTTCTACCTCTGATGAAGAGTTTTGGCCTAAATGTATGGATAAACGCCACCTTCTCGAATGCTTACACTTCAGTCTAGTGCGAGAACGAAACCACCTCAAAGTAACCAAAAATTGCACCAAACCCATGCCCACAGCTAAAGAGCTCGAGAAGGCTGGAATCCGATTCGAAAGTGGGGAATGGGACATTTCTGAAGTTAAATTTTCGGGCAAGGTTCTCAAAATCCCAGCTGTAGTCCTAGACCAGAAGCTCGAAATAGTAGGTAGAAATCTCATTGCGTTTGAGCGATCAAATTGTAGAGAGACAGAGTGGCCGATGACAAGATTCTTGCAGCTAATGAATGAATTGATTGACGATAGCACTGATGCTCGGGTTTTGGTGAAGTTTGGAGTTTTGAGATGGGGAGGCTCTAAAAGGGAGAGATTTATCAATAATTTGCGAGAAGATGTGGGGTATCCTGCCGTTCACTCTGCGTATCCAGCCATTGATGAAGCTCTGAAAGAAATGAAAGAGTATTATTGGAAAAGGAGTGGATTTATTGCAAGGAATTTGCCTTTTCTTTTGGTGGTGTCCTCTTTGGCTATGGCTGGCCTTGCTTTAACGGTTATGAGAGTCATGAAAAAGAAGGGGTGATTTTGAATTGCAACGGTAACATTTGGCGGCAAAGGCCAGTGAAGAAGGGCAGTCTGGTGTGCTGAATACTTGGAACACTTGATTTTCTCATTGTTTCCCCCCAAAGGCAAAAAGGGCCACGGTTTGTATAGAGCAGAGGCTCTAAACGATCAAAGCAAAACACACCTTCATGTGGTGTCAAGAAATGTGGTTTCAATGCTGGAAATCTTTGTGATAGCATTAAAATATATTTTCATATTTAATTGTAAATTTAGAGCTTAAAAAATAATATAGATCGAACGGATCTATAAAAACTTGAAAATCTTGAAAATTGAGAGTCCAAAAATGTGTTACAAGATGCACCATTTTCAAAATTTGAAATTTATTTTTTTTCTCATGTCCATGCATTTTGATGATCAATTTGAAGATGTTTGGCCATCAAAACAACCTTGTCTAGTGAAATTTTTGAGTTGGGTTCTGATTGAGATGATTTTTCTAAAAGATGGTAAAACCCACTAATTTGGACCTTTCATACTTCTTTTTTTAATGTTTTAATGTTGTTTTTTTAGGTCTTCCCAAATACCATAAACCCCTATTTTATTTTTTATTTTTATATTTAATATTTTTTATTGTTGATTGGGACCGATCTGGATAAGCAATTTGTCATGGATCAATAAGGTGAATGATCCACCAACGGGTTTTGAAATTTGAAAGACTAGATGAAACGAATATATTAGATAAAAGAACGTAAACTGGCCCAAAGAGATATATTTGAGGGAGGTCAGCTCGGTTTCGCTAGAGTGAATTGCATAGAGGTAATTTCGGATGTGCTGATTTTGGTACAATTTTCTACATTGAATAAATGGAAAAGTAGGTCTTTTAGTTTTCTATGTCTATTATCAAATGGTAAAAAATACGAAAAGATTATTTATTTTTTCGTACAAAAAGGTCACAATCACTCATATCTTTCAGATTATAAATTAGGTGGTTGTAAACATGTCATTGACTACACTCAAAGTTCAAAAGAAAATTTCTCAAACATTGTGACTATTCATGCTTAATACATTATTCCGGTAGTAATTACATGTTCTGCTAGTGGTAGCAAAAGCACACCTGTAGTGTAACTTATCAAAGTTATACGAGCTACCCCTATGTGTGAGGGCTAAGGGCCCCTCTTGCCAGCGGGAAAAGTGCAAAGTGTGTGTGTTCACTATTGACCTTCCCTCACTTTGGTTCCGACAACACAAGTGAAGAAAATAGATGTATATTTTATTTTGGGTAAGTAAATAGATGCATATTTTAGCATGATTTTCTTTACTTCATTCTTTATTGTGGGGTAAAAAACCCATACTTTTTTTCTACAAATAAAACAAAATATATTTTAAAAAAACTATAATTTAAAAGAGATATTATTTTAAAATAAGAAAGTGGTTTGATAGGGCTGCAACCTAAGTAAAGCCTCACCTCATAACTCATCGAAAATTGTAATTCAAGCATTGGATAACCTTTAGAACGATAATCTCGGCTTGCACATTATGGTTGTCAAGAAAATTTAAGATTTCAAGCTCTAAAAATAATGTATATTATAACAAATTATCTATATCGTCCATTTCGCCCTAAAAATAAGTGTTCATAGATCCACAAGATCTGTATAGTTTTTTAGTTTCAAATTCTATTGCCTGTATTAGAAATTGATTTTAGAGCCATTATGGATATTGCTAAAAGTGCTTTCCATACGAGATTTGAGATGAGGCTTTATTTTGTTCTCATAAAGCTTGGGCTTTATAGAAGCTTCATCCTTTAAAATATCACTTATATTTTTTAAAACAAAACACAACACTTCCAAGTTCTTAAAGCCCGGAGTTGGGCTCGAACTCCACCCAACAATGGCACAACATTATTTTAGCAAGACCTTTTCCCAAAAGATGGGTGATTTTATTGGCATGGAGCTACCACCATTCGGTTAAACACTAATTTTTTTAATAGGGCTTCATTCGCAAACAATTGAACAATGAAATAGATGGCAAGTGACTGATCGAATTGATCAGGACATTAGGAACAAGGTTCAAATCTCTCAATTTGTTAGGATACCTCAACTGCATACATCACTGCACTTCCACTTGCCACCAATCGTAATAATAAACGGCTCATCCTGTCATGACCTTATCTTGAATTCTCAACACTTTTGTCGCTCCATCCCCCCAGGAACATAGTACCTATCATTGTCTCATCCATACTACCAGAGGCTTTGGGGAAGTACATGACTTCTCTGGTGTGTATCTAAACCCCCTACGCTCTTTGGGGGCACACCCCTTGTTCTACTCAACAAGGTAGAATCATTTTTTCCTTACCCCTCAAAGGAATTGTCTTACAGTGGCTCCTCAATAGAATTGCATAAAAAAGCTAATTTCTCCTTTATTTCTCATAATAAAATCACGTATTTGTCAAAAAAAATCATAATTTGATGACAAATGCCGGGTCCAACTATTAATTGTAGGTTAACAACTACATCTAGCATTAGCATGCTATAAATCAAACCATATTAGAGATTTTATCTTGAAATCCAAACAAAGTAGTGTAAAAATATAAGCATCCAATTACTATTGTTACAAGGAGGTCATAGTCACTTCTAGCCTTTAGATGCCATATTGGATAGTTTGATGACTTTGAGTATCGTCAATGGCACACTTATGACCTCCTTGTACTTGTCCTAAAAGTAAATGGTGTCTTTAAAAACATTTTCTACAAATATCATAAGGAAAATTAGAACTTCACAAAAGAGTATTCTAATCGAAAGAAGTCCAAAATGAAATGACAAAAGAATGTTCCAACTCATTCTTAGCGCTCTCTAGACCAGAAATGCCAATTAAATCTAGCATAATATGTAAAATGTTCTATTGAGCACGTATAACTGAAATTAGAAGATAGTTTATTGCTACTTCCTTGGTCAGAGGGCTTACTTGGGGAGAATTTTTTCAATCTAAAATTTTGGAAACCACTAAAGAATTACCAGATGATCATCTCAAAAGAAAATTGAAATTTGAGTTTTCTAACACTTGGATCTCACCATCTAAAAATTGGATGGTCTCTATTAAAACTCAAGTCGTTATCTCTTTCAAGTGCATAGAGGGTACAATTAGGAATTTTTTTTAGGTTAATCTATGGCTTGAACAGGTTACATCCCCAAAATTTAGGGTCCTAAAATTGGTTCTAAGGTAGTAAAGGATATATCCCCAAATTTTAGGGTCCCAAAAATACCTCATGGTTTCGTTTTTGCCTAAGGGAGTAAAGGAACAATTTGCACCCATGGAAGCATAAAATCATTTGGCACAAATCTCATATATATATATATATATATATATGTCTGAAAAAGTTTATATATGGTTGCAACCTTAAAAGAAACACATACGCATATAAAAAATCCATCGACATTTTAATGTTTGAAAAACTTTTTAATTGATCATCTTGATAACAACATACATGAATACGAAAGAAAAAACAAAAATTTTGAATCCCAAACATAATGTACAAGATTCCTCTACCTTGTGTTGGGTTATCACCAGTTTAAAGTTTCATCCACGTATGTGGTTATCTATTTAAGGTCACCTCGTACATATAGACAGAGACATAAAGCAAAAGAGGCGATGCGTCATTATAGTTAGTTAAAATGGTAGTATTGTACTGTTTAAATTACGTAATTTGTGGAGATTTGTACCTTTGAAAGTAGGGGGTCCTTTAATAGTTACCATTGAACCCTTTATGAAGGGTGCTTTGACGTGGATTTGGTTAGGAGTGGCCTTTATTATGGTTCCTTGTAACATGTGGAGATATGTACCTTGGAAGGAGGGGGTGCTTTCATAGTTACAGTAGAACCATTTATGAACGGATTTCGTTAGGAGTGGCATTTACTGTTGTGTTACTGGTACCGGTTGTTTGGGTTGGACCACATGTTTAAGCCAACCTTTTTAGCTTTTTCTACCGCATAAAACTTATATAGTTTTCTTTATCTAATCGTTTATTTTGAATGGAAGGCTAAGATTGTCTTAATCACAATATCATGTCTTTATATTATTGTATTTTTAATTTTTTTTCTATAAATTATTTGACATCAAATTTTAGACGTCCAATCCTCTATTAAACTCATACTAGCGAAAAATATAAAAAGAATATTTTTAATAAAATAGAAGGATCAAAATACCCCTGATACTTTCAAAGGGTATTTTGGTTATTATATTTTATCGAAAATTTATTTTTAATATTTTTTATAGGTGCGTCTCAATAAAAAAACACAAATACTAAATTTCATATTCATACAATTTGTCTAAAAAAAATTAAAAATAAAATACTTTGAGATGTCGAATCTAAAATCAAACAATGAATAACTCTCTTGATCAAAATTGAATAACCGTATGGCAGGAAAAATATAGATCTTCAATATTATAGATGAGGTTTAAAAACCTTTCCAATATAGTTACGGCCGCGTGCGTTTACTTTTTCTCATGTCTATCATCAATTCATCGTTGTGCAATATTTCTTTATGCCTATCATCAATTCATCATTGTGCAACATTTCTTTTATGTCTATCATCAATTCATCATTGTGCAATATTTCTTTATCACTGTAATAATGCCTCGTCAGATGCCCCTCGTTGCGTAAAACTCAAAAACTACACTAAAAACCCAAATCACCACTTTACTTCCTATTGCCCAACGCCCTTTTCCAACTGTGTTTCTGCTTTGAGCTTTTTTAGGTTCCTCAACACCTTACCATGTTGATTGGCATCCCCTCTCTATTTCTGAAGAAGCCAAATAGAAGACGTGAAGACCTCTATTTTACTCTATATGTGAAAATTCTATATGGTAAAAGACACCTACTTCTTCCTTTTTAAATATTATTATCTTATTCACTGAGTTTTGAGGATTGTAATATATTTTTGAATCATGAGTTTATTCCGTCAATCTTCTTTTTTTATTTACTCCGAACTTCTTCTTTTTCAGTTTACATCACATGATAATTATTAAACCTTAAATAAATAAAGAACGCATTCCATTTTTTTTAAAGAAAATTACATACAAACATTATTTTACCTTTATATTACTGTATGGTTTATATTTTACCAAAAAATTATAATG